AACAAATCTAGACTCGCAGTGTCGAGATGTGAACAAATTTCGAGATGCCACATTTAGCTGTTGCGTATCTGGTATAAAACACATGTTAAAAAATGAAAACACACACATGAAAATTTCCCACATATGGAATAAAAACAGAACTTTTTTTTCCAATTGGCATAAATTTCGAGTTTTTCTTGAAACTCAGACGCTCTCAACTAAAACTTCTCCTATTTTTAGTGATGCGTGACAATTTTGCTGGAAAAATTAATCGGCAGAAAATAGTTAAGTATCAACTTATGCTTTTGATAACAATTCTTAAATTTTTTTTCGAAATAATGTCAAACAACAATTGAATTGGCAACTTTATTTTTCAAGCATTCCAAAAATCGAAAAAAATTTTCCAGTACATTTGTTGCATGGGAATTATGCCATTTGGGAAATTTCTCATTTTTATGCTATTTAGGAATTATGCCATTTGAGACATAGTCAAATAAAGCACAGAAACTTACTAAACACATTTGTTTTATGTAAAAATAAAGTTTGTTTTCCAGAAGTTGTGATCGTGTGTGACCTATGGGCCCATTCTAACTCGGGGATCAACTTCATCATCTATGGCTTCACCCATACAGGCATGCGTAGGGCATACTTGCAGTGGTACAAAAGAGCATCACAATTGCTTCTGCTGTGCAGACCAAAAAATGAAGATAGTGACAACCAAAAGAATCGAACCCAAACCAGAAATACTACAAATTGTAACTGATGAAAAAAAACTGGCTCTTTATTTCGCTGGCTATCATAATGATTTCATCCTCCCCTTGAAGCCAATTTTCCCTTTAAAAAATTGAAATCATACAATTTATTTAATGCTTCAGGAGTAGTGGATTGAAGGGGGGGGGGCTTCGGGGCAGACGCCCCCTTATTAAAAGACTCGAAACACGACGACCCAAAGGCTTCCTCCCCGGGTCGAGGTGCTCGGTTTATGTTTCGACTGTGAAAGTCGAGCACGTGCAGTTTTGCG